GCCAGTGTCCCTGTTTGCTTAGATATGCTAAGAGTGGAGGCCTTCTTAACATGATGGAAATCATAGAGAAGCTTAAAGCAGGTCAGTGGTCCACACGCTGGCAAGTGCCTGGACAAGGCCTCTGCTAGTGTTTCCCCAGCAGTCACAGTTGGGAGGTGAGCTCTGCAGTCCAAGTGTTGTTACAAAAGGCCACAAACAACCTCCTCAGCAGCTTCTATGGGGAAATCTGAGTAGACACATGGGCACCTAGAAAGAAGATCCTATTCCACTGCTCCGTGGGCAAAAAATTCCACAGTTGCTATGAGAAGATGCAAAAACAAATAAACAAACACGATCGCCTCAATTTCGATGCAAAAGGCAGTGGGAAAGGATGCTGATAAGCCAGGGGGAGGCGTTGGTGGGAATCTATTTCCAGGGGCTCTTAGCACCTGTTTGCAAGCACATCTCTCAAAATAGCATTAAGCAACAAGTTTCTAAAATGGCAAATCTAATGCTTCTTTTCTCTGAGAGTGCTTTGTCATGGCTGATACTCTCACCCAAGGAATCATTTCAAACAAGCCTGCAGGATAAAACAGAGCGATTTTTCGCATGTCTGCAGCTACTGCAGCAGCCCACTGTGCGGGCAAGGCGGGCGGGCGAGGCTGGAGCTGGGCGCTGCCTGGGCCCCACCTCCTCCCGGAGCACTCACCATCAGCAGGCTGAGAGCAGAGTCGGGCACCAGCTGCACGGCCATGGTCTCCGATTCCCATGCACAGTCAGTTCGCCTGGGCCCTGGCTGACTGCGAGGCATCCACAAATACCTACAGCAAACCAGCCAGAAATCCAGACTCAGGGTGCAAAAGACTCAAGACGAAGACAGGCCACATTTCACATGGGGGGTGGGGGGTGGAGGGGGTGGTCAGGCGGATGTTGGGAAGAAGGGGTGGGAACAGTGCTTAGGGATGGAAAAAAAAAGAATGAAAATAGGAAGCTGCAGGTTATTTAAAGGTGAGCCCTCCCTAGCTTCACTAAGCTGCATGAGCACAGAAATCACATCTAACACAAATAGAAAAGCTGGGAACGCAGAATTTTTAACTGATACCTTAGCCTAGGCAGCAACTCTTCTTTTAACTGACAATTAAAATAAAACATTCCTTATTGCAGATAAATCAACCAACCCAAACACCACCACTACCACCCCCACCCCCCATCTCTCAGCAATTCTGCTGCATAAACATGCTGCATGTCACAACCTACCGCTTGCAATCTGGTCAGTGTCTTCTTTTCCTGCAGAAAGGTGTGTCCCCTTTGCAAAATCAAGTATCTGGGAGTGAGAGAGCCGAGCCTGACCAAAAACACCAGGCAGTCACTGGAGATCAGCAAATGCCCTCATCATAACCGAGTAATAAGTCAGTTATGAAATGACCCCTTCCTTCTACCATCCTTAAATCTACTTTTCCTCTCCAAGTGGACTGGCCAGCTTAGTTCCCCGTGGGGCTAACATACTTACAAGGAACATGTAATTACACTGCCTGTTCTGTTAGCGTTCTGATCTCCCAGCCAGTACCACATGTACGCAGCAGACAGGCACCCTCTACCTCTCTCCCTCCCTTCCTCCCGCCCTTCCTCCCTCCCATCCTTTCCCTCCCATCTCTCCACCAGGCTGCCTGTTAGGAATTTTGAAGGAGCCTCTCTAGCTCAGGGAGGTACAGGAGGCTAATTTGTAGCAAGAGACACTGTTTAAGACAAAAAGGCAAATTAGCCTTAAAAATCATATCATGCAGCATTTTCCTTGGAAGATGTCAATGGCAAAAAAAAAAAAAGAAGGAAGCTTGCCCAGTCTTGTTATATAATGAGTGGCTGAAAAGGCTTCTCAGAGTCAAAGATTTAAGAAAATTAAACACTTTTTTTTTCTATCTTCTTATGGAGTACAATTATTCAACTACACATGGCAATTACTAATACTTCTGGTAATGGTTTTCATGTTCTTTTCTGATTTCTTCCCTTACTCATCTGTTGTAATGACTCCAAAAATTCCTTGAAATTAACTGGACAGTGTGAAATGTAAGAACACAAACCAACACTCTAAGTAAGAAACTGGGGGAGGAAATTAATCACCTTCACATGTTCCCATGGACAAGTACAGCTGTTGTCCCTCTATCATTCATATTTTAAAAGCATTTATTTGAATATCACAAAGTAAGTGTTCAAAAATATTCATTGAATGAATGAAAAGATTCCTCTCTCATTGTTTATCCTGTGGCCCAATGAGGTTGAACCTTTATTCCATGTTGTCCGATTGGATTCTAATGCTCTTGACCTCAGGAACCTCTGAGAATCTCCTACTATCAGGTGCTTGGAGATTCACAGCATGATCATGTGAATATGTCCTTGAACTGAGATGTCAGAATATTCTAGACTTGTTGGTGTGTTTCTCAAAAGAATTTTTTATTATTATAATAATTTATTATTTGACTATAATTTAAAGAACATATCTACAGTATTACTTTAACCTTGCAGATAGCTTTCTAAATGTATCCAACTGATAAGTGCTGAGTGCCTACTGTGTGCAGCACTCTATGATAAGCTTTGTAGAAGATGCAAAACTAAATCATGGCCCTTGACCTCAAGGAGTTTTTATCTGACAGATGCAGTGATGTCAAACAATCATCTATGATACAAGACAATATGTGATAAATGCTAGAAAGTGACTTAAAAACAAATAACTTTGGGTGGAACAGAGTAGAGAAAGTTTACTTTTCGCTTCAAGAACATGGTAGTTTTTAAGCCAAAACTTGAGGAATAAGCAGAATGTCCTTTTTATGACTTGTGTTTTATAATTCTACATGGACCATGAGCTTGTAAAACACAGAAAGCACAAGAAGTTAATACCGTGCTACTGCAGCTGGTGCGGGGGTAGGGGAGGGTGTGCCGCAGAGGGCCCAGCAGGAGCAGTTACAGGTGCACCGGAATGCAGGACATGCTCAGGTGGGACAGGCAGGCCTGCGAGATGTTATGTCAGCCACTGGTGTGAGGTCTCACACCATTTCATTGAGGATATAACTTTTGACATTGTGAGTAATGTATGTAAACATACACACCTGCCTTTCTTTCTCTGTACTTTGCTGAACCTTTGCCCAGATTCTTTAGAGAGAAGAGCCTGCAGCAGATCTCACGTGTGAAGACATTACTGGGAGGTGCCCTCTCAGGGCGGCAGGAGTGAAGGAGTGAAGGAGCTGGGAAGGAGGGGCAGGGAAGGGATGAGAGCAGGTACAAGGTGATACCTACTGAGCTGCTCACAGTACAGCTGCTCAGTCATGAGGAAACGCTTCCAGACAGGCATGGAACATTACTCCTTGGAACAGTCCATCAGGGAGAGAGGGAGTTGCTAGCCTGTTCCTGCCTATCAGCTGAACCTTGCTGGTCAAATTGACCCCAGACGGCATGAATTTCCTTGCACTTGAGTCATGGTATATACCAGATCCTGGCATAATACACCAGAGCAGAAACAGAGGAAAGGCATGGCATCTGAAGCCAGAAATGGAAGGAGATGCCACAGATTTTTGTGGGTCAGTCAGATAGGACCTCAGCCCTGGAGCTGCTGAGGCTCCATCCCCAGTGCATGTTATGAAAATTGTCCCAAAGCCCAGCCTACACTCTGGAGAAGTCCGGGATGGCTGGCAGTGCCAGGAGTTGAAATGACAGTGACAGGACCTAGAGTCCCACCAAGCAAATAGCTAAATTCCAGGGGCTAGTTGGGGGGTGAGAGGTGGGCAAGCAAATCTTGGGGTGGAGGGTAGATGAACTGAGTCTGGTGCAAGTGTGTGTGTTTACATACATTACTCACAATGTCAAAAGTTATATCCTCAATGAAATATTCCCTGGTTTTTCTACTTGGGTATTCATATTTGCATATTCATATTTGTACTTCAAAGTTGCTGTTTTTTATAACAGTTATTTACTTTCTTCTACTATCCCCCTACTAGAGAGTGAGCAACCTGATGTCAGCACTAGGTATCATTTGTCTCTGTGCACTCCTGTAGCTCTGAGCATCAAATTCAGAGAGAAATGGGACTCAGTCATATCAAGTTGGGCACTGATGAAGGTGCTAAAATGTTAAGTACAAGGAGAAAGGGGCAAAGACAGCACCCCAGTGCTGGGAGTGGGCAGGTAGAACACAAGGAGTTTGTGAGGAAAAGTAACAGGCTGACAGAGAAGGAGAAAGCCCCAGAATTCCAGTGATAATGGTGGCTCCACAAAGATGCCTAGAGCTTTTAGTAGAGTTACAGACATAGAAGTCAAAGTGGAGAGGGAGACAAACCATAAGAGATTCTTAACTCTAGGGAACAAATTGAGGGTTGCTGGAGGGGAGGTGGGTGGGGGGATGGGGTAACTGGATGATGGACATTAAGGAGGGCAGGTGATGTATTGAGCACTGGGGGTTCTATGCAACTGATGAATCATTAAATTCTGCCCCTAAAACTAATAATATACTATATGTTAACTAAATTAAGTAAAAAATTTTTTTAAAAAAGAAGTCAAAGTGCAAAGGATTATGGAGCAGTTTGTGAGGAAAAGGAGTTAATTAGGAATGAATTAGTGAAAATAGACTCATCTCAAAAAACAAAAACAAAAACAAAAGCAGTGAGAAAGGAGCCCTCTAGTTCTTTTCCAAACCTCATCCAAGAGCAGTCCAGATCATAGAAGAAGGGGTGCAGGACAGCAAGCAGTCCTTTCCTCTAAGGAACTAAATTCCATCTTTGGCTAGTGTTACACCCAAGAAAGACACATAATTCCTTTCAGTGTAGCTCCTCAACTGAAGGGCAGTCCAATGTCACAGCTATCAAAAGTCATTACCAAAAAAATTATTAAAAACTTCTGTATTTAGTATGAAGCTATTGTGAAGACACTGATCATTGCATCACTCACTGTTGCCTGTATAAATTGCCCCATGTGAGAAATTTCTCTCAGAATTCAGTACCAGGAAGATGTCCGTCCCTCCTGAGGTAGCGTGAGGATGGATGGCGTTATCCTCGGAATGCCTGCTGTGCCATTTTACTCTTGGGAACCAGAATGCCTATTCTGTCATTTACTCTGTGCCCCAGGGCAAGTACCATGAGACTGAGGTAAAAATCAAATACACCTTTCGTTAAATTGCACATAGTAGGCATTCAATAACTGTTATTCCCTAGAAGTCTCCCTTTCATTCTGATAATGAAAATAACAGAACTGATCACAGTTGTCACATTTGGCTGCCAGAATACCCATAGCAGATATTATCATAGTTGGCATTATTACTTCCTTGGTTTTCCTCAACCTTGTTTTCCCTTCTAATTCATAATGTATTAGTCTTATTTAGTAGGCCTTTTTGTCAGTAAGCCATCTGAAATTCTTTTTTGGAAAGAGGTAGAACATAAATCATTCTTTAATGTATAAACTACTCTCAAATAAATTTGGCACACTGTGAAACATTTTGCAGCTACTAAAATGGCAATTATGAAAACTATTTAGGAAATATGGAAACTGTCAGTCTGAGCTACAGTGTTTATTTGACCATAAAATGATACATATACTTTAACTGCAACCATGTAAATATTTGTATTTAAGAGAACATGAAGGAACTTTTGCTTTCAGCCAAGATGGAATAACAGGGACAAATTTTATACTCCTACCTAAAAAAACCAAAAAATGGGCAAAATATACAAACCAATACTTTTCAAGACACTGGACACAGGACAATGATAAGACTTAAAATAATCCCAGACTATGGAATTCAGAGTGTTTTCAGGCCACAGATTAGAGAGGGAAACCCAGGTGCAATCAGGTGGATTCTCTAAATTAAGGAGCAGAACCTAGAGTCAGGGGAGACCAAGATGGATAGAATTCACAGGGCAGAGCACCAGAGAGCACAGTGGTACAGAGAGAAAGAACTTCAGAGCTCTCCCCTTTGAGCGTTTAGTTGGGTACTAATCACCACATGCACAAGAAGAAACTAAAGTTGTGGAAAGAACCACCTAAAATAATTAAAAAGATTGGTGATGGGTGCTCACACACAGCCAGGAATAGCACCTGTTCACACCAGCCAGGCTGGAAGGCCTCACAGATTCATGGTGCATTAGATAGGATGCTCAGAAGGTTCTTGCCTCAGGCGTGAGGAATAATTAGCACTAGACTGGTCACTCCCCTAAATCTGCCTAACAAATTAGAAAAGCAAGACCTGAAAGGATCAAACTGTTTCCAATTAACTGTGTTCCAAAGCAATGTTAAAGAACATTTATAGAAATACAAAAATATCCAACATCCAAACAAGGTAAAACTTACAATGTCTGGCATCAAATAAAAATTAGATACGGAATCAGGTACAGAAAAAGTAGGAAAATATGACCACTAAATAGAAGACAAATCAAGCAAAATCAACCAGCGCTAACAGATTTTAGAATTAGCAGAAAAGAACATTAAAACAATTATTATAATTTTACACAATATGTTCAAAAAGTTAAGTAGAGACATGAAAGATATAAAAAAAGAACCAATTTGAACTTCCAAAGATGACAAACTACAATGTCAAACATGAAAAGGAAAAAAAACAAAACCCCACATTTGTTGGGATTAATGGAGATTAGACTATAATTATAGAAGAAAAACTTAGTGAACTTGAAAACAAAAACTATTCCAAATGAAACACAGAGATTAAAAATGTTTTTATAAACAAATACAAAAATAAAACACTTGTGAGTGGTGGAACAACTTCAAGCAGCCTAATGTACAATGTAATTTGTATCCCTGAAGAAAGAGAGACACAAATGTATTTGAAGAAATAAAGGCCGAATTTCCCCAAATTATACACTGAACAAATTCTAAGTATAAGAAAAAAGCACATCATAATCAAATTGCTCAATATCAGTGATAAGGAGAATATTCTAAAAACAACCAGAGGGGGATAAATACGTATCACACATCGAGGGACAAAGATAAGGATGACAACAGATTTCTTGCTGGAACTCATATAAGCAAGAAAACAGTATGAAAACATCCTTAAAAATTTTTAAAGGAAAAATTATCATCAATCTAGGATTCCAAATCTAACAAAAATATTTTTCAAAAATAAAAGCAAGATAGACTTTTTCAGACATACAAAGTAAATAAAAGGCAAACACCTTGGAAAGGAAGAAGAAAAACTTCCCACAAAGAAAACTCCTGGCCCAGAGGGCTTCAGTGGTGGGTTATAATAAATATTTAAGGAAGAAATAATACTGAGTTTCCATAAATTCTTTGAGAAAACTGAGAAGGAGGAAGTGTTTCTGAACTCATTTTATGAAGCCAACATAAATATCAGATGAAGAATGTATAAAAAAGAAACCACAGATCATTATAGCCATGAATTAAAATGCAAAAATTCTAAACAAACTTATAGAAAATAAAATCCAACAATATGTGTCACTTCGGCAGCACATATACTAAAATCCAACAATATATTAAAAAGATAATGCATCATGACCAAGTAGGACTTAGGAATATAAGGTTGGTTTAACATCCTAATAGCAACCAGTGGAATTCACCATATTAACAAACTAAAAAATGAAAAACCACACAATCAACTCAATAGACCGATAAAAAGCAATTGACAAAATTCAATATCTATTCCTGATTTTTAAAAAATGTCAGCAACTAGGAATAGAAGAGAACTTTCTCAACCTAATAAAGAACATCTACAACAAATCACAGCTATTACCATACTTAATGTAGAAGACTGAATGCTTTCCCCGAAAGATCAGGAATAGGGCAAAGATATCTACTCTCAGGACCTCTCTTCAACATTATACAGGAGATTCTAGACAGTGTAATAGGACCGGGGTGGGGGTGGGGGGTGGGAAGTCTAGTCAGATCAGAAAAGAAAAAGTAAAACGATTTTTAGTCATAGCCAACGTGATTTTTCATGTAGAAAATCTGATGGAATCTACAAAAAAGCTACTAGAATAAGAAAGTTTAGTAAAGTTGAAGGATACAAGATCAATATCCAAAAATCTACTGTATTCCTACATGCCAACAACAAACAGTAGGAAATTTAAATTAAAAGTACAATTAACAGGGTGCCTGAGTGGCTCAGTCAATTAAGTGTCTGCCTTTGGCTCAGGTCCTGATCCCAGAGTCCTGGGATTGAGTCCCCACATCAGGCTCCTTGCTCAGCACAGAGCCTGCTTCTCCCTCTTCCTCTGCTTCCTCCCCATGCTCGGGCTCTCTCTCTCTGTAAAATAAATAAATACAATCTTTAAAGAAAGTGCAATTAACAATAGGATCAGACGATATGAAATGCTTAGTGACAAATGTGACAAAGATATAAAAGATCTGTACACTGAAAAGGACAAAACATTGCTGAGAGTCCATAGGAACTTAAATGGAGAGATAGACTGGGCTCATGGATCAGAAAACTCAACGTTCTTAAGATGTCTATTCTCACCAAATTGATGCAGAGATTCAACAGAATCCCAATCAATACCTCATCTGGCTTTTATTGCAGAAATTGGCAAGCTGGTTCTAAATCGATATGGAAATGCAAAGGACATAAAATAGCCAAAACAATTTCAAAAAAGAAAAACAGCATTGGAGAACTAACTCTGCCTACCTGAAAGATTGGAAACTTAGGTAGTAAAAACAGTGCAGTATTGTCATAATGAAAGGCAAATAGTTCAACAAAACTGGAGAGAGAATCCAGAAAGAGATCCGTACATAAATAGACAATGGATTTTTGACAAAGGTACAAAGGCAATTCACTGAAGATAGTCTTTTTAAGAAATGGTGGTGGGATAATAAGATATGCATATGTAAAAGACTGAACTTCAATCCATTCCTTGCAACATACACAAAATTTAACTCAAAATATTATCACAGACCTAATCACAAAACTTAAAACTATAAGATCAGTAGCTGAAAACATGGGGGAGAAAATCCTTTGGGTAGAGCAAAAATGTCTTAGACGTGCACCAAAATCAGAACTGATAATAGATCAATAAATTGGGCTTCATCATAATTAAAACTTCTGCTATTTGGAAGACACCATCAAAAGAACAAAAATGCACCCCAAAGGATGGCAGCAAACATTTGCAAAGCATATGTTTGGTACAGGTACTGTATCCAGAATATATAAAAAGCATATTAATACTCAATACGAAGAGAACAACACAGTGAAAAGTATACAAAAGATTTGAATAAGCACTTCACAGAATATATATGTATGGCAAATAAGAACAGGAAAAGGTGCCTGATATCATCGGTCGTTAGGAAAATGCAAATTAGGGGCACCTGGCTGGCTCAGGGGGAAGAGCATGCAACTCTTGATCCCGGGGTCATGAGTTCAAGCCTCCATATTTGGTACAGAGATTATTTAAATAAATAAAACTTTAAAAAAAAGGAAGATGCAAGTTAAAATCATGGTGAGACAACACAACACACCTATTACATGGCTACAATTAAAAAGATTGACGATACCAAGTATTAGGCAGCATGTGATGATCTGATGGGAATGTAAAATAGTATACTTACTTTGGAAAACAGTTTGGCAGTTTCTTATAAAGTTAAACATGCATCTACCTTATGATCCGGCCATCCAAGGAGAAATGAAAACCTGTGTTCATACAAGACTTGTACATAAATGTTAATAGCAGCTTTATTTGTCATGGCCAAAGCCTGGAAATTGAAATGTCCATCAATGGGTGAATGTCTGAACAAGCTGTACAGCCATAGAATGAAATCCTATTCAGCAATTAAAAATGAATAAAGCACTGATACATATTACAATATAGATGAACCTCAAGAACATTATGCCTATGGAAGAAGCCAGATGCAAAGACCACATATTTCTTATTCCATTTATAAGGAACATCCAAAAAAGGCTAAACTGTAGAGACAGAAAGTACATTAGTGATTGCCTGTATGACACTAGCTACAAATGGGCACGAGGGGTTTTTCTGAGGGGTAGAAGTATTCTAGAACAGGGTGGTGGTGATGGTTGCTCGATTCTGCAAACTTACTAAAACTAATTGAACTGTACACTTAAAATGGGTAAATTTTACTGTATGTAAATTACACCTCAAAAATACTGTTTTTTGGTTTTGGGGTTTTTTTAGAG